TAATCGATTTATAACTGTAGGAATTATTATATTTACGTAAGTTAATATGAAAAAGAACGTTCAAATTAGCCGCCAAATAATGTCCAATCAGATTCTCAGGGACCTCTAGTGACGTATGAGTGAATTATGATATGATGGATATGAGAGCGAGTGAAGTAATAATAAAATTCATTAATATAATGTGAAGAATTCCATCGTATAAAGAAAATATTCTTGGATATTTCACGATATTATATTTCCATCATTTATTAAATACAAAAGTATTGTAATTTGAAATATAACGTATATCACATAAAATATATAATTTATATTGTTGAATTGCTATGTCAATCGGAACTGTAACACGATACATTGATTCAGATAATGGAAACGCATGTATTTATCCAATTTATAACTATATATAAAATTACATCTAAAATTATTTATTAAAATTATTAAAATATTCATTAAATTAATAATATTTAACGTAAAATTATTTATTATAAAAAAAAAGTTCTAAAGTGCAATAAGATTCTTAGTACCATCTACTAACATATGAGTGAATTGTGATATAATGGATATGAAGTGCTCGTGCAGCAAAGTATCAGAAAAATTCTTTAATATAATTTGTAAAGAATTCTATTATCTATATATCTCTGGATGCCTTATCTCTCCAATACGAAAATACTAAATACGAGAATATTACTGCTGTAATTTGAAATGTCTATCACGTAAAATATATAATTTATACATTGAATAATTGTTATATCAATCGGTAGTATTACATTGAAGTTTCAAAAGATAGTGGGGATAGCAATCATGCAACACTGATTCGAATAACGAAGTATGTGTGTACTTATTTATATTTTATAATTATAAAAATTACATTTAACGTTATTTATTAAATACATTTACTACTATAATTTGAAATCTTGTGTGTATACATAAAATATTTATATTTTAATTAATTGTTACATCAATTGATAGCGTTATAGGTTAAATTAGGTTAGATTCTAAGACTTAACCTTTATTTGAGGACTAATTGTAATATTATTTAATGATTGCTTTTATCTCTGCTCTTAATTCAGAAGATGTAAATATATTAAAAAAAAAATTTGATGAATTGTTATAATTCTCTAGTTTCAAAAAAGTATCTACTTGTGAAAAAATAATTTTAAGAGAAATGGTATTTTATAAGAGAGAGTTATAAGACTTTATGTGAATATTACAGAAAGCAGTAGTTGAAAACTTGAAAAAGATAGAAAGATGGTATTAAACATTCTTCATGAGAAAATCTTTTTCGTAAAATAAATTGTGATTTTTTAAAATTTTTTAAACGATAAAATTTGTTGGAATTATATTAATAAAATCGTTGAAATCATTTTTATAAATTTTTTTAGTTAAAAATAAAAATACATTTTGCAATAATATCGAATAATAATAGAGCAGAATGTTTTCTCTGTTTCAATTCTTTCTGATTATTCTCAGGTTACAAATAGTTTTCCATAACAATGCTGGATTGAATTTTTCTTCGTGCGTTGAATAACTGGATACATAGTGTTGTGTTGGATTTGCCATTGAAAATTCGAAGTTTTGAAAAATTCTGTAAAAATGACAAAAATGTGGACCATAAAATTTAAAACATAAAAATAAAATAAAAATACAAAAACAAGAATAAAAATATATATATAGATAGCAAATAAAAATGATGAATTATTGAAAAGTTCGTGTTTGTTTTTAAAAATAAAAATAAAATATTTTCATATACGAAACTCGATATGAAAATTTATTGTAAAACGGAGAGAAATTCAAATTCTTAGAAACCAATAAAACCAATGAAAAGCTTTGAGTAAATTAAAAAAAACTTCGCTTTTATTGAAACAAAGTTTTATTAAATTTCAATGGAAAAATGACGTAAAGAAAATGTTTAACGATTGTTTTATTGTTACTTTATTAATTAAGAGATTAACTTCATTATAGAAGATCGTGGAATATGATTTATTTTAATAAAAGTAAGTAATAAGTAAAGTAAATAATAAAAGTAAGTTTTGAAACTTTTCACAATTTTATTTATTATAAAAATGTTATATGATATCTATTTAAAAAGTTAAATAAATTTGATATCACATAGAATAAAATTTAATATACACATGAACGCATTTGATCGGATATTGAACTGTATTTTTCAGCTAGGAATAGAATTCAAAGATCTGCAAAGTATCTGCATAGAATTCTTTTCAATTCTTTTCATCCTTCACAATGGATAAAAATACAACGAGTTGTTTTCAAAGATACATAATTTTATAAAAAAAAAAAAACAAATTGTTTTGATACACAATTATAAAACAATTTTACAATTGATCTATCACATATTATAACATTATTAATATTAAGAATAAATTTTACTTTTAGGTATTTTTCTAATTTTAACAATATTTAATCCCTTTTCTAAAAATGACAAATTTTACTATGAAGAAATTTTAAGAATTATGAATAATAATTAAATATTACGAATAATATGATGACATATGATGATATATGATGACGCATAATGAATATAACATTATGAATATTGTTGAACGTTGAGAATAAGTTTGATATCAAATATTTTCTTAATTTTAACAATGTTAAATTTCTTTTCTGAAAATGAAAATGAAAATTTTAGTGTATCAAAAAGGGGGAAAAAAGCATACAAATGGATTACGTTGTTAGAAGTTTCTGGAAGAAAGAGGAAAAAGTGAGAAAGAAAAAATTTTTGCTAATTTCGGGACAATAAACGTCTATAAAGATGGCGAACGTATCGAGTATGTATAGACAACTTGCATTGTTGAAAATAATTTTCATTTTATTTATTTTTTTTTTTTTCAAGAATTTAATATTTTAATATTTAATTAATTTAATTTTCAACTTATTTCTTTCTTTAAGAGTTATGATTTAATAATTAAATTTATTTTATTTAATTTAATGAACTTTTTTTGAAACGAAATCTTGAAACAAAATCTAATCGTGAAATCATATAAACTCTTGCAATGATAAAGTTTCACAGTGTGAAATTAGAGAAAAAAAATTTTTAACCAACAACATGTAATAATGATTATATACGAGTTTTTTAAAATTCAATCAGGATATTGAAGGAAAAATATTTTATTCAAAAATATCCCAATAATAAAATATTTTTCATTTCAAACAAAACAATACTTTTATAAATCTTTTAAATCTCAGATCTTTTGTCTAGCATCTCGTGTATTTGTAAATACGAATCAACTAAGTGGAAAATGTAAATTTGAGACGAGGAAGAATACGACGAAACAAGTTGAAAAATGAAACAGATGGGCGTGGATACACAGTGTACGAGTTCTTGAAACGGAAAAAGAGGACGAGTATGGACTAAAAAATTAATAAAGTGGAAGGAAATTCAAAGAAGGAGTCTCTTGGTATACTTATTGTCAGATTCACAACGCCAAAACGCTTTTTCAAATAACATGACACGATGTTACAAATTTTTCAGAAACAATGCTAAAACCAAGTAGAAGGATGAACGGTGTTTCACTCGTGATTGAAGTGGGATTCTTTTTAATTCAATAAACCGTTGCGACGTGATTCTTGAAGGATTCGTTTTCGTTAAAATTCGAAATTAATTCAGAAAATATTGTTATTCAGTTTTTGAATAAAATATTTTCATTGTTAAATTTTATTATAATTTAGGATTATTCTAGGATTAATATAATTTAAAAAAATTCGTAGAATTCAAATTCGAAATTTTGTAAAATTTTAAAAGTATCGAAACTTTCGAAGTTTAAAAATTTTCGAGTTTTACTATTGTTTTGATTTGAAATTTTAGATATTCGATGATAATATAATTAATTTTTTGGCATAAATTATCTAAATTTAAAGAGTTTCGAATCTTTTGTTATTTTTTTAATTCGAAATTCATTATATATAAAAACAATTCTAATATATTTTGAGAATTAATTTTTGAGAAAATAAACAAAATTGCTAGTAATTATTATCATATTTGTTGTATTTAATATGATTAAAATGTTTAAATATTAATGCTAAAATGCAATATTTTTGACTGAATTATAAAAACTATGAATATTTAATTAAAAACAGTTAATATATACAAAACTGTGCAAGAGTTATAATTTCTCGTTATTCGCTAAATCTTCCTAATATAAGTATATATCAGTGCTTACATATTGTCAGCAACAGTTTTAACTAGGAGAACGAAATGTTCGACTTGAATGTCGTTAAAATTATCTTTTCATCCGTAAACATATTCGCAACGACATATCCATTATACATTATTCGTTATTCAATTTCATTTATATTTCTATAACTAATGTAATAAATTGTCTGTTAAATTTAAATGGAAAAACAACGAAATAAATCAAAAAGATTGTATTAAAATATTTGTCATTTTTTGCAAATTACATGATTTATATGTAACAAATAGGTGTTATGGTTATAATACAGTATTGTGTCGAAGTTTTTCATTATTTTGTAATAAAAGATATGCTAAAATATTATTTTTGCATATTTCAACATTCATATTTAATATTGAACGTGTACATATCTCTAAAGAAGGTATATATAAAAAGACAAATGATTACAAAAATATCCTTTTCAATATTTATCTATAAATTTTTTTTTATATAAAATCTTTTTTGATGTATAATTATATTTTTATTTCATATCAGTAAAATATAATAATTGTGGAATAAAATAAATTTTTAATGAATCAATATTTTTCATCACCCAGAGGTGTGGAATAATTGATAAAATTTTATTTTATTATTATTATCAAGAAAAATTTGTTTCCTTTTCCCCAGTATATCATCCGTTGTCATTTTAATGTTCTTTAAACGTAGCCAACAAATACGGCCAACCAAGCTGAGTGCTTTTCTTCGAATCTCGCACCGATAAGTCTAGATTAATAGAGCGATTGTCCTAGACGAGGCATATACATATATCATAACATTATTGCGTTCGTTATATTTGAAATGGATTGTTTGAATCGTAAATTCTATTCCATTTTCGAAATTCGTTTTTTTTTCCTATTAAAATCGTCTCAATATTTAACTGAAATACATCATATGTATATTCACACCATATTGCTAAAATATACTTAACCTATATTTACTATACGCATAATCAACTATTCGAAACAAAAGATCGCAGAATAAAGCAAGAAGAAAACAGTAAAATGTACTCCAAAGATAAAAGATTTTAATACGTCGTAAAAAAACCGCGAAACGATCATGAAAATGAGCAGTGATCCGCTATTGATCACATAAAATTTGACGAACGAACAAAAAGAAAGAAAAGGAAAGCATAAAGGAAGCGTAACTCATAGGCAAGGTGAAGCAAGAATAACAGATCGTGGCTGGCGATTGTTTTGGGGCGTCTGCGCCTGGTGGTGCGAGAGAGGACCGACCAGCAGGAGGCGTTTAAGCCTTCGAGATGCCAGTCGATTCCGAACCGCCGCGCGGTTGAGGTGCGAACTAATGTTTTCCCGAAACTTCCGTATCATCGTAACCTCGTGTACTTTCTATCTCTCCTCGATCGTCACCTCGAACTTCCATCGATCCTTTATTGATCCTCCATTTTATCTATTCCATTCGTCGAAATCACACTGCGATCGCGTGAAAATATAAACCGATTGTCTTTCGTCGAATAATTTCGTAACGGGTATAATTATTTCCACAGTGAATTCGAATTTCTGGAGAGTCTCCTCGGTGTTGTGTGTTGATTTTTGAAGAAAGAGAGAAAAAGATCGATTTAATGGCCGTAAACTCGTCCGATCAGATGTTTTCCATGTTTACTGGGGGCCTCTTCCGATTCGGTCGTCATTGGCTCCAAGGTATTCCGAGGAATTAAAATAACGGATGAAAAATAATCTACGAGAGCAAATCTGTCGAGATCAGTACGTGCTCGGTTGTTCGTGACATCGATGTTGGTTTAAAATCCTCGACGTCAATTAGATCAATTTATCTCGACATTCAAAAGTGTCCTTGATCGTGACGCGGGTTCCTTGATCACACGAAAATTAGGATTCACGGTGGAACGCGGGAAAATCCAACGAGAAGAGAGAAAGAAAGGATTCGTGCGATCAGTTATTTCGAGTTTGTTGCATGAGCGAATCTAATGCCATCTATCCCGCGCTATACATATAACCTCTATGTATATCATTGTATACGTTAGCCGCTCTCTGAGAGCATAGCCGCAGGACTCGTCCGCAATTCTTTTCCAAAGGAACGACGACATTTCAATCTGGATCGTGGCGGAAAAAACGAGCTTTGATATTTTCGTACAATATCCAAGAATCGAAGAATCGAGTGAATAAATCGATATAATATTTCGAGCCACGTCAACGTGTCCTTCACCGATACACAAGTTCCAATGGCAAGCTTTAATTGTTTATTCTAATTAGTGTCGACTAATTGATTACATTAGAACGTGACAATGTAATACACAAGTGAAATGGATGGATGATCTCTTGGGAAATGAAACTTAATACGATCCGACGTTTATTGTAACACGTTTGTGCGCCTATGAATTTCTAAGGCACACACGTACATATATAAACATAATTTGATATAACATATAGAAGTATAGTTTTATATATTTATCTATGTTTAGATAGATAGTCATTAATTGTAATTGTACACGTAAGACGAGGAAGGTGTTATAAGATCACCTCCTTGAAGATGCTTATGGTAGTAAAGCTTTAATTAAAAGTAGTAAAGTTTTCCTGAAAAGGAAAAAGGTCGTAGAGAGACCTAAAATCAATTAATCTGGATAATATATATAACGATTGATTTTGAAATGGTGAATAGAATACATCGTTCACGATAATACGTCTTGCTGTTATATGACAACGCCATTGGCTACACTGTAGTGCCTAATTATGAATGCATCTACCCAAGAAGAAGCTGATTTAATAGCTGTTTCATGTGGTAATTGATTCATATTGTTTACATGATAAACAAGAACCATTCGTAATATTCTGTTTGAAGTTATATATTCTGTAAATAGTTGAAATATTGTCATGAGATAAATTCTAAACAAAATATAGTCGAATCTCAGTTGAATCATGAAGGTTAGAATTTTTCGAGTAAAGAAATTTAATAAATAAAATTTCGATGTACGAAAACTTTGCATATTTTTCTAATTAAAAAAAAAAAAGAAAAAAATGTCATCTTTCGTTTTCGATATGCAATTTTAATATTTGAAAAAAATATATAACATTTAAAATAAATTTATATTTCGACTCGTGGATTTCGTCTAAAAATTTTCATTATATGAAATTCTGAAGGTTATATAGATTTTTTTTATAATAGTTCGAATTACAAAGATTCGACTGTATTTTACAAAATATCGAATTTTTCAAATTTTTACATCACGTTTCGTAATGATACGATAAATTTCTCGAGAATACTTTTTAGCTTGAATGCATTTCCAACGATATGATACACTTTTAAATCCATTTTTGATCTAACCTTTTAATATTGGAAATGTAGATTTAATAAAAATAGCGTGAAAAAAATTTTGCGGAAATTTTCGATTAGTTCTTGGCAAATATTCCGCTCGACGATACGCGCATGCGCAAAGATATTAACCGTTTAGCTCAAACGGTTAACGCTTTCGCATCAAAAATGTATTAATACAATGAAAAATTAAATCTTTGAAATAATAAACATGCGTGTTTATTATTAACAATGTATGTTACAAAGACAGATATTGCTTTTGCTAACTACAAATCATATTGTGCACGTGTTCGTTTAGAAGAAATGCTTGCGATAAATTTTTTTATGCAATATTTAACATTAACAATTATTTATTTAATTTCAGTTTAATTATTTTATTAATTATTAATAATAAATTAAAATTATCTTTTAAGAAAATTGATAAAGTAAGTGGTGGATGCATATATACACTTTATTTTTTGTTTATGAATCGTTATATTTAGAGATTAGAAATATAGTTTTCTTTTAATGAATGATGATGAATGATAATTTTTTTTACAAAAGAGAAAACTTGATTTAAAAAATTATTTAATTCATTGAATAAAAAAATCTCAAAATTCTTTATAATTCTTATAAAAAATTTCAATTTACAAATACAAAAAATGTTCAAAAGCACGGGTAAAATGATCTTAATTAATTTATTTAACGTACGAATGCTTTTACGTCTGACGCAATTTTCCAAAAACGAAATAAAGAGTAAAAGTAAAGAACATTCTGTAATCTGAACTCGGTATTTACTTACGTGACGAAAAAAAAAAAAAGAGAAAAAAGCTAACCATCATCGCTATTCCTTCAATTTTCGAGAGTAACGAATACACGCGAGACGTTTGAAAAGCGATCGATAAATTTTTTCTGCTCTCAACTTCGAGAATCGGATTATGAATTTCATTTCGTTCGAATTGGCCGGGGAAATCGGCCATAGTCCCCTAAGCAATCTCTCGGACACTCGACTCGTATGCGTTTCGCGGAACGAACGAAAAACGCAGTCATCAATCCTAAGCGTGGATCCTAATCCTATTATTTTCTAATTAACGTTAATTCGATCGCTAATTAATCGAATATCAAGATATGAAAGCTGATAATAGGGTGGATATTTAATTTCGCTTACGAAATTTCCGTAGCAATTTTCGCCTCCTTTGATCAATTTATTTTTCGTCCTCTTATATAATTCTGATCAATACTATTAGTATTAAAAATGGAATTTTTTTGTTAATTTATTATTGATTAAAAATTCGTGTTGAATATCAATAATAATTATATTAGTTCGTATAGACAGATTATTTATAAAGAAATTTGTAGAGGTTAGGAAATTATAAGTTAGCTTTTGGCCAAGATAAGACTTAAATTGTTAAATTGTTTAAGAGAGATTTCTGTAATTCGTCGATTTATCGATGTTATTAGTAAATCATTATGCAAAAGTATTTTAATTATTGCAAATGCAAATACATGCGGAATTTGTTATTGTTGCATTCAAATCGTGCGGAATATTTGCCAGGACAAATTTTGGTTTGTTATTTTTTGTATATAAATGGTAAATTTTCAAAGTGTACAAGGTTTTATTGACTTTTTAAATGAAACGTGATTCTAACCTCTTCTTGTCAAAACAAGGAACTATATGGATTATCGAATCTTCTACGCGATATATTTTTAATTCTATTTTTATATAGTTTTTTTCCTCGAAATTTTTTGTTTCTTTATTCGATTCCAGTTTTGTTTCAATTATTTCTTTTCTCCACGTGTAAAATTCTTTTTTTTTATTAATTTTCATAAATTGAACTTTATCGAGCTATTACTCGGTCGATACGGAAGACTTCTTTTTTTACATTATCCTTTCTGATTTGCAAGGTATTATATTCTGCCTTCAGATTACAATTTGTACACATAATATGTCAACCAACTCAACAGGTGGAACGAAGTATACCAAAACTCACGACAGCTTTTTAAATCGATTCTATTATTCTTTATTAAATACATATGTTATTAAAAATCGAAAAATATAAATATGAAAATATTTTTAACAATTCAAAATTGCGAAATTTTTCGAAACTGGAAATTCATTGCTCCCCTTGAGAAATAATGCAATAACAGAGAAACAATTTTTGTAATAAATATAAGAACATGAAAGCATGTCTCGTATAGCAAGTTGTTAAAATATTTTCGAAAAGAAGAGGGCGCAAGAGGTTAGGATTCCTCGTATGAATCTCGTTGGCAAGATTAATGCATTACTTTTAGCTGTTAGCAGGATCGTTTCGTAGGATCTCTCTCGAGAATAGAACGCTTCCTCCGAAAAACACAGCCTTTTTGCTGAGAATCATCCGTATTGAAATCTACAATTCGTGTTCGTGATGGCTCGAGGTTTGAAATAAGGGTGAAAAATGGAGATATCCTTCATGAAAAAAAAATGTTCTTTCTTACGAAAAATTCGTCATATTTCACGATGTTCTACGGTTTAGATTGAATTTTAACGTATTCGAAGATTTTATAGGTACAATTTAATAAATTTTCTTAGTTTTTAGAGATTATAAAAATTTTCATATTTCTCGAGTTTAGAAGAATCGAGATGACAAATTGAAGTGATAATGCGACGTTTAAAAATTTTGAAATGCTTTCGGTGATTAATTTTAGATTTCTCATTAATATTTGGCAAAATCAATATTTAATAATGAGTGTATTAAATCAAATTTCAATGCCAGTAATTTCGCTCTGAATTTATCATTTAAATTAATTACGAACATTTAATATTATCAATTCATAATAGCAAATATAGTATGCAGTCCATAAATATATTATAAATAAAATTTCAATTTCTTTTTTCATTGATCCTATAACCTATATATATATATATTTTTTTAAAATGTTGGTTTTTGGCTTATTATTTGTTATATTAATTGTGTGCCGAAAAGTAGCAAAAGTTTCAACAATAAATAAAAAAAATACCTTGAAAAATGATTTTCAATATTTTTTCGAAACAAATGTTTAATTCTGTAATTTTTCTAAGCTGAAATGTTTCATTGAAGTTCTCAGCGAAAAAAAATCACATCTGAAATCACGTTTAATCAAATTTTGTACGTGCGTTTGTAATTCCGAGTAAAAGGAAATTGTACAGGAATATTATTCATAACATTTCAGTTGGTGTTTCAAATTCGTGAAAAATTTTCAAAATTTCGAAAAGTAAAATTACCAATATTTAATATTTTTTAAAATAAGCGAAAACTTTTACCGCATTTTCATTAAAAGACACGTTAATGTTATTTAACATCTCGGTCGATATTTCGTTACGGGGATAAATTCGAAAGTAAATTTTAAAATTTTCAAAAGAAGATTATTTATCGGT